CGGGCGTGCAGGCCGTGCGCCGGCCTGGCAGAAGGGACCGGGCTCGGTGGCGGTAGGGCAGGCCCTACGGGAGGGCTCCCTTCCGGAGCCTTTCGGGTATCCGCCTGGAGCGGGGCTGTCAGCGTTGGGGCGTCCCGGAGCGGGCTGCGTGTTGTGGCCGAAATGAAGCCAACCCTTATGCGGTGACTTACCTTGGAGCTGGCCGAGCTGCAGGGGCCTGCCTCGGTACTAGTGTAGCTGCGACTCTATGCTGCTGGCTGCGCCGGCACAGCCAACGCCCGCGGGGGGTCCTTCCCTGGGTGAGGGCTCGCTGGTCCCGTCAAAAGGGGTTGGGGTGAATGGGGTGCTTGTGTAATATAGCTATAACGCCGCGAAAATAGCACTTAAAATTCTGTGTATAGGAAGGAAGGGCAATCTTGCTCGGAAAAACAACGACTCCGGTAATGTTTGTGGCCGAAAAAGTCTTAATGCGTGTGTCTACTGCTTTTGTGTTAATGCTAGAGCTCGCTGTAACGTCTAGGTGTTTAAAGGGACAGCTTTTAAGTACTAGTATCTTCCATCGAGCCAGAGGTTGCTATTGTATCTAACTTGGGCAAGTGTCTCCCATTATCAAGTTCTGATCCCGGTTTTTAAATGTAACTTCTGCGAAGTAACTTGCTGTTTATTATTTGCTCTGTTTTCAGGTGCTTTTTTACCTGTTTCTCTCAAAAATCTAATAAACAAGATGTCTACTAACGAGAATGCCAATACACCAGCAGCTCGATTGAACAGATTTAAGAACAAAGGAAAGGATACTACAGTGAGTATTTTGATGCGATTAGTATTTCATTTAGCCATCATCATATTTTTAAAATGACTTGTAAAAGCCAAGAACTTACTATGAATCTATATCCTTCAGGAAATGAGAAGGCGACGTATTGAAGTCAATGTAGAGCTGAGGAAAGCTAAAAAAGATGACCAGATGTTTAAGAGAAGAAACGTTAACACTTTGCCAGATGATGCTACTTCTCCCCTTCAGGAAAACAGGAACAATCAGGTAAGTAGGTATTTGGAACAGGCACCCTTGGAGGTCTTGCAATGTAAGCTCACGCAGCCACACTCATATGAATCCCTTCTTGTGTGGGGAACACCACTACTACGTATACGTTACCAATTTTAAGTCTATACTACCAACTCTAATGGACAGCAGTCTTAAAACGTGGCCAGTTGTGTTTAAGTCTTGTGTAACAGTGGTGTGAAGCACTTGATTTAAAAAAAAAAAAAAAGCTGTTGGTAGTTCAGATAACTGTAGGTGGTTGATTGAAGTTTTGGAGCATCACATTAGTGGTATGATATTTTTACAAAGAAAATGGTTGTAAACTGGGGTCTACTCAAGAGTATTGGTTGTGAAGAGACATGCCTCTTCCAACAAAGCATTCATGTAACCTTTTTTTATTGTGAAGGTTTCAGCACACTGGTCAGTTGAAGAAATAGTCAAAGGAGTGAATAGTAATAATATGGAGCTTCAGCTACAGGCTACTCAAGCTGCCAGGTAAGGAGTTCAGAGCTACCCAATTCAGCTGTGCAAGCCAGTAACTAGGCAAGGTAAAAGATCTGGTTTATGAGCCTAAGTGTCTGCTTCTGGCAGCAGCTGTGGCTCTTCCTATCAGATAGGATTTCCAGCAAACACCTGAGTCAGCCTTATATACATTGTTTAGGTGCACTTAACTTAGTCATGATTTTATTGAAACCATCTGGCTTTTGAATGTTTAAAGTGCCTGAACATATCACTAGGAAGTAGTAATTCTTTCTAGTGGTTTTGAGGTGGCAAAATAAACAGTAGTCCATCTTAGAGTTGCAGGAGTAATAACAATAAAGCCTTTGTTATAAAAAAACAAGGTATCTTTAAACTGTTAACACTTGACTATAACATTTGAGTGCAGTGATCTTAGAATAATGTGAATAGTAAGATGACTGGGGTTTGAAGTATGCCAAGTTTCCAAACCTAAAATCTGCTTTAGTAAGCTTGTATATGGCTGCAGTGCTGCTTCTGGCAGTCATTAACCTCCCTCTGCTGAGAAACCTCTAACGATTCAGATGGATTATGACTCTTGCAGGTCTGCTTTATTTCAGAGTTTGAGCAGAACTTCTCATATAGTGAAGACATGCCAAAACCAATGTTAACAGAGGTTTAGGAAGCTAGTGTTCAGCTTGTCCGTATTTCTTCATGTCACATTGCCTTTTCTGAGTTTTAAGACAATGCTAAACCTTCTTTTTAAAATAAGGTTTCTTTCAGACTCTTTAATCTGTTGTTCAGCTATCTGCAGGCAAAAATAATGCTTTTTCTTTGTTTTCCTCCTTAGGAAACTCCTCTCAAGAGAGAAGCAGCCCCCAATAGACAGCATAATTCGGGCTGGTTTGATTCCAAAGTTTGTCTCCTTCTTGGGCAGAGCAGACTGTAGTCCTATTCAGTTTGAATCTGCCTGGGCACTTACCAACATTGCTTCTGGCACGTCGGAACAAACAAAGGCAGTAGTAGATGGAGGGGCTATTCCAGCCTTTATTTCACTGCTGGCCTCTCCCCATACTCACATCAGTGAACAGGCTGTATGGGCACTGGGAAATATTGCAGGTATGTCAATATGCAACACAACTCTTTCAGACCCGTTCCCTTATGTCAAACAGGAGGACATGACTACCGACATGTCACGCAGCATGCTGAGCTTCTTGGGAACTCTGCCTTAATGATTTTCGAGTAATGACATGCTCTGCAATGTAGACTATGCTACAGAGAGCTCTTTATCTTCAGAGCCTGGTATAAGATGTCTCGTGCAATAACCTGGCAGTCTATGGATTGCTTCCATATTTCAGCTCAGCTTTAATAGAGCTATAGAACCATGCTACCACATAGGGCTCTTTCACATATTGCTTGATGGTTTTGTGACTGTATGAGCTGTGCTCTGTGTGTTGCCTAGAAAGGGGAAGGGAGGAAGCAGATGACTTGCATAATTGTGTATGTGATGGCAAATATTCTTTGCTTTCAAACAGCTACTTACTGATGTGAAAGTATTATATACTGAAGTTTCTCATGCACCCTTTCAGGATTACTTGACCTACCAGTGTTGGATCCCATTCTTTAAAAAACCCACACAACACAAACTGGACAAAATTAATAATATATTTAAACACCTATTTGCTATA